GGCCCGCGCGGGCCTCGCATGGGCTCCGCTGGCTGCGGCGGCGGGAAGGGCACGGGTGCCACGTGGCAGGCCACGATTGGGCACGCGCGGCGGTGCTGGACGTGTCCGGCGCGGGATGGACACGTCCGGTGGCAGGAGGAGGAAGAGGCTAGGGTTTCGGGGAATTCATCCGCGAATTTTCGGGGGAGGGCATTTTTATAGTTTCTGGGAGCTAGGAGAGTCCAAATGGAGCACGGTTTTCAGCCACGCGATCGTGATCGAACGGTGGAGAGCATGGAGGGGAGTTTGCTGGGTTTTGGGCCACTTTGGAGGGGTGTTGGGCTGCAAGACAAAAGAGGCCTTTACGGTTCCCCGGTTAATCGTTGGAGTATCGAACGACCTCCAAATGGCACGAAACTTGACAGGCGGTCTACCGGTGCTATGCTAAGGCCGCTTGGCAAGACTCGTTCCATTCTGAGAACATTTAACACCCGCTCACGAAGAAAGGCAAGAAGGGGACACCGGATGACATAGGAGCGCAGGATTGCAAAACGGACAACGGGGAGAATGCTCAGATGCATGAGACGAACACGTATGCAATGCAATGCACATGATGACATGATAAAATGCAACACGCAAGCAAATGACATGGCAATGACGGCGAATAACTGGCAGACACCTGGCGCATCAAATCCAGGGCGTTGCAGCCAACTCCACGAAGCTCATCCGCCTCAACCTCAGCTGCAACGCCATCTCCGGCAAGGTCCCCGCGGAGGTCGTCGGCTCCTCGTCGCTCCTCTTCCTCGACCTCTCGTACAAAAAGCTATCTGGCCACATCCCTGACTCTTTCGGGGGCGGATCCAAGGCTCCGTCCTCGTCCTCGTGGAAAGAAGCCGTCACCGGGAGCTACCAGCTCATCTTCCTCAGCCTCGCACACAACTCGCTTGACGGGCCGGTGCCGGAGTCGCTCGGCGGGCTCAGCAAGCTGCAGGAGCTGGACCTAGCCGGCAACAACCTCAATGGCTCCATCCCCCCCCAGCTAGGATCGCTTCACAACCTCAGGACGCTCGACCTCTGAGCAACGAGCTCACCGGAGATATCTCGGAGAGCCTCGCAAACCTCACCACGACGCTCTTGTCCTTCAATGTCTCCTACAATAACCTCCGGCGCGGCCAGCCTCGCTCGCCCAGAAGTTTGGGCACACCTCCTTCGCCGGCAACATACTGCTCGGTGGGTACTTTGCTTCCTCGCCGCCATGTCCCGTGTCCACGTCTCCGGCGCCGGCGTCAACCTCGCAGGGGACAACCGGGTGCCACGGCCTCCGCAAGTTCAGCTCCAAGGAGCTCGTACTGATCATCGCCGGGATTGTGATCGGCGTCCTCATCTTGCTATCGCTCTGCTGCCTCTTGCTCTGCTTATTGACAAGGAAGAAGAAGTCCAGCACTGGCACCAAAGCACAGAGCGGGAAGCAGTTGTCAAGCAAGGACGCCACCGGCGCCGGCGCCGCTGCAGCTGCCGGGCAAGGCGAGAAGCTGGGGGCGTCCAAGGCGGAGTCCGGCGGCAACGTGGGCGTCAAGTTGGTGCACTTCAACGGGCCGCTGGTGTTCACGGCCGACGACCTGCTGTGCACCACCGCGGAGATCATGGGGAAGAGCACGTACGACACAGTGTACAAGGCGACACTGGAGGATGGTAGCCTGCTGGCCGTGAAGCGGCTGCGGGAGAAGATCACCAAGGGGCAGAAGGAGTTCGAGGCCGAGGCGGCAGCTCTCGGCAAGGTCCGGCATCCCAACCTGCTCTCGCTCAGAGCCTACAACCTCGGTCCCAAGGGGGAGAAGCTGCTAGTCATCGATTACATTCCCAAGGGCAGCCTCTCCGCCTTCTTACACAATGAGATTGCTTCCTTCAAAATTGTTCATCCTTTGAAGCTGGATCCAGCTCTGTGGTTCTGACATTTGGTTTGGTTCATGGTGTTCGTTCAGCTCGAGCTCCCAACACGCCGGTGGACTGGATGACGCGGATGGCGATTGCCAAGGGGACGGCCCACGGGCTCGCCTAACTCCACGATGACATGAACATCCTCCACGGCAACCTCACCGGCAACAACGCGCTCCTCGACGACGACTCCAGCCCCAAGATCACTGACATCAGCCTGTCTTGCCTCATGACGGCCGCAGTGAACTCGAGCGTGCTAGCTGCGGCGAGCGCGCTGGGGTACCGCGCGCCGGAGCTGTCCAAGCTCAAGAAGGCCAGCGGCAAGACCAACGTGTTTAGCCTGGGCATCATCATCCTGGAGCTCCTCACCGGCAAGTCCCCTGCCAACACGACCTACCACAGTGGGTGGGGTCCATCGTGAAGGAGGAGTGGACCAACGAGGTGTTCGACCTGGAGCTGATGCGGGACACGGCCGCCGGCCCGGAGGGGGACAAGCTCATGGACACGCTCAAGCTCGCGCTGCAGTGCGTCGAGGTCTCGCCGTCGGCCCGGCCCGAGGCGCGAGAGGTGCGGCGGAAGCTCAAGGAGATCCGGCCCGGGATGGTACAGTGCAGGAGGAGAGGGAGAGAGCGAGCTGGTGCGGTCCGACCAGGTGGGCTGGTTTAATGGTCATGCTGTTGTGCAAAAAAAACCCGGATGGACTAGTATTCACCGAAGGAACGACCAGGTGGCGGTCAAAGCTAGCTTTCGGTCGCTGACTCGGCCAAGTCAGCAAATACATACACAAAATCGTATACATGGACCAAAGTGAACCCCTAGCACAAGTACTTGGACCGTAGTTCCGGTATTTTGAAGTAGTGGTACTAATGTGTCACCCGACTCAAGTTTGGTGACCTAGGATGGATTTTTCTCTTCTGTTAAAATAGGAGATCACTGTTATCATGGCTTATGTGATGTTTGTGCTAGTGTGAGTGCAATTCCTTTTACCTTATATCAAGAAATTATGAATGATATTGCACCTGCTGAGATAGAAGATATTGATGTTACTATTAAGATTGCCAATAGAGATACTATATCACCAATTGGGATTGTTAGAGATGTTGAAGTCTTGTGTGGGAAAATTAAATACCCTACTGTTTTCTTGTTCTTGGTTCCCCACAAGATGATTTTTGTCCCATTATATTTGGTAGACCTTTCCTGAATATTGTTAATGCTAAGATAGACTGCAAGAAATATATTATTACTGCCAGTTTAGGGGATATGTCTCATGATTTTAATTTCTCTAAATTTCGTAGACAACCCCATGATAAAGAATTGCCTAGTAAGGATGAAATTATTGGCTTGCTTCTATTGCCGTGCCTCCAACTGATCCTTTAGAATAGTATTTGCTACACCATTAAAATGATATGTTTATGAATGAAAGAAGGGAAATAGATGAAATATTCTTTAATCAAAGACCTATTTTGAACACAATTTGCGTGTTGAAATCCTTGGGGATCCTCCTCCACCCAAGGGTGATCCCATGTTTGATCTTAAACAATTATATGATACTCTTAAATATGCTTATCTTGATGAAAAGAAGATATATCCTGTTATTATTAGTGCTAACCTTTTAGAGTGAAGAAAAGAAATTATTGAAAACTTTGAAGAAGCTCCATGCCGCTATTGGATATACTCTTGATGATCTTAAGGGCATTAGTCCCACTCTATGTCAGCACAAAATTAATTTGGAGCCTCATGCTAAATTTGTTGTTGATCATCAACGACGGTTAAATCCTAAGATGAAAGTGGTAAGAAATGAAATACTAAAGCTTCTAGAGGCAGGTATAATTTATCCTATTGCTGATAGTAGGTGGGTAAGTCCCGTTCATTGTGTCCCTAAGAAGGGAGGTTGTTGGATATCGGGTTCCAGCAAAACCCTTAAGGTTCAAACTCTGGGGTGCGCGTGAAGATCTTTCCCCTACCGATCCACGCCCAACGCCTCGCTATGGATCTAAGCTACACGATGAACAACACAAGGGACGCAAGGTTTATACTAGTTCGGGCCACCATTGTGGTGTAATACCCTACTCTAGTTTGTTGTGTGGTGGATTGCCTCAGGGGCTGATGATGAACAATACAAGGGGAAGAACTGCCTCGCGAGGGGAGGAGTCCTTGTGGTGGTGTGTTTGAGGAGGGATCGATCTGTCTCCGTTGGCTCTGGATGAGATGCCTTCCACTATGGTGGCTAGCCCTATATATAGAGGCCTTGGTCCTCTTCCCAAATATTGAGCGGGAAGGGATTCCACAATGGCGGTATTTGAAGGGGAACATCTAGTACAACTTATCCTGACTAAAGTTGGTCTTCGGCTGCCAAAGGCACTGGCGATGACGCCGTCTTGGGCTCCATGGTGACCCCCGTCTTGCCGTCCTCCTGGTCCTTGTCTTGTTGCACTGATATGGAAACCTTTGCTTAATGCCTCGGTACTCCGCGCCTGCGCTTGCCCCCTTAGCACCAAAGGAGAAATAAGGACGTTGCGCTGGCTAGTACCCGCCTGGTCTCGATCGTCATGGCTTACGTCACAAGCACCTTGTGAGGCACCCTTGCCTTGATCTCTCTGCGTCCTCGTGAGCCTGCCTGGTGAGGCAGCTCCTGTGGAGGCCTTGTGTTGTCTGCCCCGCGAGGCTTGGCCCCTCGCAAGGATCTTGAGCTGATGAAGATGGGCCACGCTGGGCCACTCCTTGAGCCACGCCACAGGCTGCAGGCAGGCAAGTCTGGGGACCCCCGTTCCCAGAACACCGATAGAGGTATTACTGTTGTTCCTAATGATAAGAATGAATTTACTGCACCAAGAATTGTTACAGGTTATAGAATGGTAATTGATTTCCACAAATTAAATAAAGCTACTAGAAAAGATCATTACCCTCTACCTTTTGTTGATCAAAATCTAGAAAGACTATCCAAACATACACATTTCTACTTTCTAGATGGTTATTTTGGTTTCTCTCAAATACCTATGTCAAAAGATGATTAGGAAAACACCACTTTTACTTTCCCTTTTGGTACTTTTTCTTATAGATGTATACCTTTTGGTTTAGGCAATGCACCTGCTACCTTTCAAAGATGTATGACTGCTATATTCTCTGACTTTTGTGAAAATATTGTTGAAGTTTTCATGGATGATATCTCCGTTTACGGAACTTATTTTGATGATTGCTTAAGCAACCTTGATCTAGTTTTGCAGAGATGTGAAGAAACTAATCTTGTCTTGAATTGGGAGAAGTACCACTTTATGGTTAATGTAGGTATTGTCTTGGGGCATAAAATTTCTGAAAGAGGTATTGAAGTTGATAAAGCTAAAGTAGATGCTATTGAAAATATGTCGTGTCCTAAAGATATCAAAGGTATAAGAAGTTTCCTTGGTCATGCTAGTTTCTGTAGGAGGTTTATTAAATACTTCTCTAAAATTTCTAGGCATCTCACTAATCTCTTGCAAAAAGATGCTCCTTTTGTTTTTGATGATGATTGTGTAGAAGCATTTGAAATACTTAAGAAAGCCTTGATTTCTGCACCTATTGTTCAACCGCCTGATTGGAATTTACCCTTTGAAATTATGTGTGATGCTAGTGATTATGCTGTTGGTGTTGTTCTAGGGCAAAGAGTCGATAAGAAATTGAATGTTATTCATTATTCTAGTAAAACTCTAGACGGTGCCCAGAGAAATTATGCTACTACTGAAAAGAATTTTTGGCAGCTTTTTTTGCTAGTGATAAGTTTAGATCATTATTGATTCCAAAGTAACTATTCACACTGATCATGCTGCTATTAAATATCTTATGGAAAAGAAAGATGCTAAACCTAGACTTATTAGATGGGTTCTCTTGTTACAAGAATTTTATTTGCATATTATTGATAGAAAGGGAGGTGAGAACCCCGTTGGATACAACTTGTCTAGGTTAGAAAATGTTCTTGATGACCCACTGCCTATTGATGATAGCTTTCCTGATGAACAATTAGCTATCATAAATGTTTCCCGTAATACTCCATGGTATGCTGATTATGCTAATTACATTGTTGCTAAATTTATACCACCTAGTTTCACATACCAACAACTGAAAAAGTTTTTCTATGATTTAAGACATTACATTTGGGATGACCCACACTTTTATAAAGAAGGAGTGGATGATGTTATTAGACGTTGTGTACCTGAGCATGAACATGAACAGATCCTACACAAGTGTCACTCCGAGGCTTACGGAGGACACCACGCTGGAGATAGAACTGCACATAAGGTATTGCAATCCGGTTTTATTGGCCTACTCTCTTCAAGGATGCTCATAAGTTTGTCTTGTCTTGTGATGAATGCCAAAGAATTGGTAATATTAGTAGACGTTAGGAGATGCCTATGAACTATTCCCTTGTTATTGAACTATTTGATATTTGGGGCTTTGATTATATGGGACCTTTTCCTTCCTCCAATGGGTATTCTAGTTGCTGTTGATTATGTTACTAAGTGGGTAGAAGCTATTCCAACTAGTAGTTTTGATCATAACACCTCTGTTAAGATGCTTAAAGAAGTTATTTTTCTGAGGTTTGGAGTCCCTAGATATTTAATGACTGATGGTGCTTTACATTTTATTCATGGCGCTTTCCGTAAAATGCTTGCTAAGTATGATGTTAACCATAGAATTGCATCTCCATATCATCCTCAGTGTACTGGTCAAGTAGAATTGAGTAATAGAGGGATTAAATTGATTTTGCAAAAGACTATTAATAGATCTAGAAATAATTGGTCCAAGAAACTTGATGATGCATTATGGGCTTATAGAACCGCTTATAAAAATCCTATGGGTATGTCTCCGTATAAAATGGTTTATGGAAAGGCTTATCACTTACCTCTCGAACTAGAAGATAAGGCATATTGGGCTATTAAAGAGCTCAATTATGATTTGAAACTTGCCGGTGAGAAGAGGTTATTTGACATTAGTTCGCTTGATGAATGGTGAACCCAAGCCTATGAGAATGCCAAGTTGTTTCAAAAAGGTTAAAAGATGGCATGACAAGATGATACAAAAGTGTGAGTTTAATGTAGGTGATCATGTTTTGATATACAACTCTCGTTTAAGATTTTTTGCAGGAAAATTTCTCTCTACATGGGAATGTCCTTATATTTTCGAGGAGGTCTATCGTTCTGGTGCCATAAAAATCAACAACATCGAAGGCACAAATCCGAAGGTGGTAAACGGTCAAAGAATTAAACATTATAACTCAGGTAATCCCATAAATGTTGAAACCAATATAATTGACGCCGTAACACCGGAGGAGTACATAAGGGATACTTTCTAGAATGTTTCAGACTCTGAAAAGGAATAGATATGTGGTACGGTAAGTAAACCGACTCCAAAACTGTTCTAATAGCATTTTTTCTCCGTTGTGGAATA